CCGTATTGAACACAATATTGAACCAATCATAATTCACTTTGATGATAGCGGTAGCAACAGTGACGAATCTGAGGTTGAAGATTAGACGAAAATTTGTACATTTACATTTATATTATATTCTATTATCAAAAATGTGTAATTTGTATTTTCTAGTACCCCTGACGATGAGTTTAAGTTACTCGAAAGCTTGAGAATAGTTATATATATAGGAATATATATATATTGTGTTTTTTATTAATATTGTTAATTTATTTGGTACCTACTATAATTACCACGATTATTACTCCGTTTTCATAAGGCCCACCTAATGACTACAACGATTAGGTAAATTACGATATTGCAAAGTTTTAATGAAATAAATAAAAAACGTGTATAAATATTTTAACTAATTGTACTAAGAATTTTTCTTTCATTCTTAACCCTCTCAAAAATTAATAAGCACGCCCCCGATTTGCTGTCAACTGGGCTTACTTCTACTCTCAATCATTATTGGTTTCAGTATAGCCCCAAATAATGGAGGTGTTTCCTCAATTGACAGTGGACAGTCATAAATCCTATTGTTAAGTGTAGATTTTTCCTGGTCATCGACAGATATTACTTCGGCGCCAGCTTTCCAGGGTCGCCCAGGGTGATCCTGGCAAGACTGCATCCTTAGGACTGCATCCTTAGGTCAATTGGGTGTAATTGGGGGGTGAATTTCACATTCATTGCCGCCAAAAGTGTTGACAAGAACACATCATTGAATTTTTTCTGTAAAATACTCTTTTAGTTTTTGGCAAAGATCCTCCTGGAAGTGTACGTTCATTTCTGTCAGTTTCGGGAAAAAATGTTATGAATGAAACTAAAGTCAATCTAATAATTCTCAGACTCATTCTTGACGAAACTCTGTTCACCACCTATAAAGGGTGGCATACATCCCCAGGCTAATAGCAACCCCGGTACAGCAACTATGAAGTAGAAGATAAGTAGAACCTCAATCCAAATTTTCATGAATATTGATACTGAAGAAACTTTCTACGTTTTTCACCACTTTTATTTGTAATTAACATTACTGTAGTTTCATGCTATAAGGTATACTTATACATTCGTTGTACGGTATGTTGGAGTGTAAGCCCCTCATTTTAGATGTATTAGATCAATATTACTGGAGTTTTTTCCCAACACCAAATCATTACTTTTAACACTTCGACACGTGTTTCAATCAACAAGTGACCATTTTCAAGAGGAAGATTGAACTGAAAATAGGATTAAATAGAATTAGCTTTGCAAACTTTTCAGTCTGATCTCTCTTGAAGATGATCAATTGGTGATCGAAACACATGTTGAGGTGTTAAAAATAACGATTTGGTGTTGGGAAAAAACTCCAGTAATATTCATTACTACACCAAAGGTTCCAAACAGTGCATCATAAGTATATTAGATCAAGCCAAAGTAGACCATATCATTCCCTTTGAAGTTTCAACAGCTTTCAATGTGTACCTAAATCAGAGCTTCCTACAGTTCAACAACAAATTTTATAAACAGGATTCAGGTTTACCAATGGGTTCACCCCTTAGTCCACTTTTAGCAGACATATTTATGAACAACTTGGAGGCCACTATAGTAAACAGAAAACCTAGCTATACAGACATTACCATCTCAAGCTATTCTCTCCATCCAGACAGTCATAAATTAGTAGCCTACAATTCAATGTCGCTCACACTGCCTTTGTCTACTAACAATCTAGCTAGGGAATTTAATATAATCACCCAGATAGGTAATAATAATGCTTTCAACGCAGATACTATCCAGAAAACAAAGCCGTAAACTCACTTACAGCATAATATACCCTCTGGTCGAACAACCAAAAATCAAGAAATGGGTGACTCTAACATATTTTGGAAAAAGAACAGAGATAATTGCGGGTTTCTTCAGAAAAAAAACAATGTGGAAGTGGCATTCAGAGCACATGCCAGGTTATCTGATTTCCTTTTCAATGCCAAAGATAAGGCATTGGAGAAATCTGGAGTTTATAAGCTTAAGTATCCGGAGTGTAATAGTGTTTATGTGGGACAATGTGGTCGAAATTTCCAAAAACGGTATGCTGAACATGAAAGGTCCTTCAGATTAGGAAAAAATGATTCCACGTTTTCAAATCATTCCTTGACATGCAACCACAAGTTTCCGAATCGAAACGATGCGGAAATTCTGCACTATGCAAGGAAGGGTTGCAAACTCAATTATTTAGAATCCTTGGAAATTCACAAGCATAAACATTGCAGGTGCAACCTGTTATCATCAATTTATCAATATTGATACTGTTTGACGAAATTATAAAGGAAATATGTCTTTGACTGGACTAACAGTGTTTATGATACCAATAACACCCTAGAATAACTCATTTGAATGATCTTCTTGTAAACTGATCAATAAACTCCTTTCCATGTAACCAGTTCTCAAGTGTTACATGTTTTCCTTCAACTGTGTCACTTATTTCTTCACCAGTATCAACATCTATATTTTTCCCTGCTAGAACAACTTTTGAGGTATATTAATTCCAATTGAATAATTTTCCTCATACACCTTCTGATGATGCTAACTCGGTTCGTGAAACGCGAGGCGAGAGGCAGTGCTTCAGTTTTGTTGTTTGTGGGAAGTGTTGAGCTGTGAAGACGACATTGGATTTTGATCGCAAAAATCCTACTTTGACTACAAAACCATACTACGTTTGAATTTATTCCACTTCAGCTGTTCATGGCTTTCAATTTTTATTTAATAATTATGATCAACGTACTGGAAAAGTAAAATATTTAAATAAGTATTGAATTGAAAGTAATTTATTCAGTATAGAACGAATATTGGTATGTTGAATTATCTATTTCACATCTCCATCTGTCTGCCGTCACAACTGACGTTTTTCTACGAATGAAAATCAACATCCAAATAAAGAAATCTTGATGAAATAACGATGATCATCAAAAACGTTGATCACTCGCTAAGTGGTCTCTCCCGATCCTCGTTTACTCTTCCGAGTGTTTGAAATTATAATTTTGTTACAGATAACGAAGCTGAAGATTGACAGCAATCCATTTGCTAAAGGCTTCAGGGATTCTTCTAGGCTCACAGAATTCGAAAGGTATGCATATTATTAACAATTTCTAGACACTAATTAGTATGGTTTCATGATTATCTCCAGCTGCGTCATATAATATTCCGTAGTTGCCACAAATAATCATGAAAAGCATCGAAATCCGGATTAGATGGAGTTTATTTGCTCATGTAAATTTTGGAAAGATTTTCTTTGAACAGTGTTTTGAATCCGAAGAGGTCGCAAACGTTTTTGACATGGCTCTTATTGAACATCATCCTATTCATCAGCTTGTCTCGCAATTTATTTAAATATGTATATAGATGGAATTGAGTACCAGAGAAAATCGGTCATTCAAATTTGTGTTGGGGCTCTTGACTGACGGATTCGAAGCGATATTACTTCTTTAACCCTGAAACAGAATTTCAACCTCTACACTACACTAGGTGAAACAAATTTTTCACAGATCGATTCAGAATGACTATAGTTATTTTTAAGATTTATGTCATTCAGACATAGCTGTAATCTGATCTTAAAATGTTGAGATTCGAATAATTGTTCTCAATGTGACAGATGATAGATCATAGATCCCATAATATTGCTGAAAGAAAGGGTACAGTGTGGTCCACTAAGTCTGCAACCAATTGGAAACTTTTTTATTATCGATTTCTCAGAAAATTTTATTCTTGACAAAAGTTGGTGCATGTTCCAAAAATATACAGAGTGTACCTGAAATGTCTTTGTGACAAACACCATACATGATAGGCCAGAAAATATAAAATTCGTTCAAGAGTAAAGTTCCCTTATTTCAAAAAATATAGAAATATGTTAAAGAGAAAAGTTGCTTAGAATTGAAAGTTATGTTCAGATACGAAGTCATAGCCTGCTATTCGAATTTATTTTTTGGAAAATTTTGAATTTGAATTACCCCCGTATGATACATATTTTTACTATTTTGATTTAATATGTATTTGAAGTAGCCACAATCAAATCATTTTGGAGTATTTTTCAACAAATCAAAGTGTATTTGTAAGCTTGACGTACTTCAAGCAGTAGTAGAAAATCCTAGAAGGTCCACCCAAGAAATTAGTGATTATACCGGCATTAAAAACCTCTGTGAAGCGTATTCTCAAGAAACTTAAGTACCATGCTTTCAAACCTACATTCATTTGTACATTTCAAGAAAGAGACTATGATTTGAGATATGATTTTTCCATGTAGATTCAGAGTGAAGTAGAAGAACAACGAGATTTTCATTGATGTATTCTGTTTGAAGATGAATCTACTTTTACATCACATCACAAAATTGCAGATGCAGTATTTGTTTTATTCTAGAGTTCTGTTAAATATCGTTGCAACAAACATGAAGTTGACGGTCACCTAAAAAAATACAAATCTAAGTTAATTGTACAAATACACTTCAATTTGATAAAAAATACTCCAAACTGATTTGATTGTGGCTACTTAAAATACATATTAAATATGGAAATGAATGGACA